AAGATATTTATACTTTTAACAAGCGATGTACACGTATTAAATTGAAAAATTTAATTATTCAATTCCTTTAAATTCAAGGCATATTCAGTTCCTGTAAAATTAAAAAAATAGACTTATAACTTTTAACTTCCAGTTTTCTATATTGCTTTACGCCCTATTGGAAAATTATAACCGGAATCCATATAGACAAGTTTTAACGAACTATTTTTCGTGCTATTTACTTTATTTTTCTTGTTTTAATAGTGTATTATGTGTGTGTGTATTATTTAAACAAAGTTCAACAAACTTTCGTAAAACTTCAAGTTTTTAATAAGAATAATAACAGAATTATTTATGCAGTTTTGTAGTCCATTAAATTTTAATACAATAAAGTGCAAGTTTGATGCTGAAAATCCTTTGATTTTTGATTTTTTTGCTAGCGGTGCTGTGCATATGTACGAAAAAATTGTAGAACGTACCTTTTACGTTTTATTAACAACACCAATCTAGACGTCGTCAAATTAACGGCCTTTGTTATCGTTAACGACAACAGCTGATTTGACACTAACGAATGTTGTTAGGGAAACGTTTACCGAATAGCTAAATTGTTAAAATTGTCGTTTAGCTGACTTAACAATAACAAGAGGTGTTAAAATCTCGTAGTGAATCGCACCACTGGTTATCATTAACTCGATTTCTTTGACTTATGCCACTCTTAAAACAAACGGTTCATATGTATGTACATACAACTAGATACTCGTTAATTTTTTTTTTTGTGTTTTATTTTCCGTTAATTAGGCAGCTAGTATGTGTATGAGATCATAAAGAAATAAATTATAGGTGTTTTCTAAAGTGTTTAATTTTTTCAAACCATTTTTTTTTATTTATTACATAGATTTTGTTTGGCGTCGACGTAACAAGTGTTTTTTCGTTATCCGATAAGTAAACACTTTAAAACTACTGTAATTAGTAAGTTAATAGCAGAATACCCGGAGATGTTCGGCCTGTGGCGCAGCTAGGAAAGGGTGTACTTTAACTCCTAGTTGATATGAAGCAAGATTTGATTACTTCATACTCATCCGATGTTCGGGTGGAATCTTAAATATCCATTTTGAATTTCATGAACATGTAAGTTCTATATTTCTTCTTTAAGGCCCGTATGCAGTTCTCAAGAAATTCCCCACAAATAATATTTTTCATTATCTCTGTCGCTAGGAAAATTACTTTGCGGTTGGTAAATTTGATTTAAGAAATTTCGATAGAAAATATATTTTTTTTCCATTTCTTGTGCGTGATCTTATATGAATTTTTTATTTTTCTTGAGAGCTGCCGACAGGTCTTTAAAGAGCAATCAATTTTGTGTATTTGTGTATTAAACTGTATTTACTAAATTTTGAATACAGTCGCGGAATGGTTTAAATTAAAGAACTTATGTAGGCATTTTTTTCGGGTAATCGTCGATGAAAATCGTTTTTACAATTATAAGATAAAATCTATAATATCAATATAATAAAAAATAAAAATTTTTTTTTATGGAATAAATCCGTTGGATTTTGCATGTTTTTTTTTCGAATAACACTATTTTTGACCAATTTTTTATGGTCAAGGAGCAATTTTGGCTCAATGGCAATATTTTTCCGTGAAAGGCAACCACATTGGCTTTCAAAACCATTTTGTTTAATGTCAAAATGTTGCTTCTGTCGAAAGCGCTACGATTAATTCATTTATAAACATTATATAATATAATAAAATAAAATGTCTACCATACTTGAGCGTACAAAATTTTTTATTCTTATTTCCATTCCCCCTCCAAAATCGAGCTCACGATCCGCCACTGATGCGAGCTCATCGCTAAGAAGGCTAAATATATTTATCATTAATGTACTAATTTGTATCTCTGCGACCATTTAAGACGAATCTCTGTGATTGAGTGAGGCTAAATGCATGCTTTTCGATGCACGTATGTATATGTACCCTGCAGGAAATACAACTAATTATAAGTTAACTTGAAGTTGAATAGATAGGAACTAAAGGTCACTATTGTCTTTTTTTTTTCTTGACGAAAGATAGCTATATTTCTATGGCGATGTCGACGGAATAGTCAAGGGTGGTTACCCTTACTTTACTTTATATAATATTACATATTTGTTTTTAGGTTCTGCTGTATGTGGGCCCATATTCGAATTCCGTCAGACATAACTTCAAAATTGTATGCAATATAAAATTTCGATCTTCATTTTATTTGTCATGAATTCGAAAAAGTATTTGTGAAGTGCAGAAAAAAGCGTATTCAAAGAAAAAGTTGTATAAGGATATTTAAACCGAAACTTGTTTAAAGAAAAAACTTGCCAATTACATTTGCATTACTCCTGCATTACTTTTCAACTAGTATCAAGTTTGCATTTTGTAGTTAACTAAAAGTTGTATATTTTATCGAAAATCCCATGAAAAATCTAACTACAAGTGGGTTATTTTTTCTGCAGGGCATGCACTTACATACATACATATTTAAATAAAAGTGTATTTGCTATGCAATAGCCTTTTCTTTGTGTGATTGTATAACAGATCTTGAACTTGATAAATAATTCGCGTCCGTTCCACGCTATTCCTGCTCAAGTTGAAGATCATTTTTTTTTTTTAATTCTAATGAATGGTGTAGCAAGACTTCGTATACATTTTAATTAAATTTTAGTTGTTATTACGCTTTATTGTATGAAGAGTATCGTTTTCCTTATGAGTCAATCTGGACCTAATCAGAGTGGTTTCAGACGTGGTAAGTACACAATTGAACAGATTTTCATTGCACGTCAAATCCTAGACAGGACACTGGATATGCAAATGAATACTGATTTTCTTTTTGTTGATTTTCAAGCCACGCATTTCCGGATACACGTCACCGTTGGCAGTTGTAACTTTGTAGTGGTCAAGGACTTTGTCTAACTAGGATCCAGCAAAAACACCTCCAACAACGTCAGCCGGGAAATCAAGCGAAGTTTAACTCTTGCCAACAGGTGCTACTTTGGCCTCTTGACGAACAAAAATCACGTTCTACAAGTCTCTCGGCATGCGCGTTCTTCTAAATGGCGCAGAAACGTGGTTGATGTCGAACAAAGATGACAAAGCTTTGGGTGTTTACGCGAGCACTATTCTACGCAAAATCGACTGCCCTGTTCAAAAGCACAATGGGTATCGAAGAAGATGAAATGTATGAAATTTTTACCGAATTGGATATAGTTCGGTGATGGGCACCGTCTTGCCCGCTGGCAAAGCTCTTTTTAAGCTTTCTATACATTTTATGTAGGCGCGTGCAGAGTAAAAGTTCTCTCTGCCCATCGCTAATATAGTTACAGAGCCATTCTGGATAAGATAGTAAAAAGTCTTGCGTATAATAAATGAAAGGCAGATGGCAAGATAGTTGGAAAGATTTTTGCTATTCTAGCACAAAAGTCCTAGAAAAAAACTCTCTTATTCACCACTCTGGTGAAAAGCTGTTTTGATAGAAAGCACTTGTACATCATTTAGCTTGCGTGGCTCCAACAGCCGCAATAGCCGAGTGGGCAAAGCACAGGCGTGCCATTCGAAGGATCTGATTTCGAGATTCGGGCAGCGGAACTTTTTTTCTTTTTTTTAATTTAATTATTTTTTTCTTTATTAATTAAATTTTCCTTTAATTTTTGGGTTTTATTGTTTTAAATAGAGTAATATATTTTTTTATTTAGAGTTATTTTATGTATTTTTTCGTTTTTACAGCAATTTTTTTCTCAATTTAATTACCTTTTAATGTTTAGATATTATTATTTTAAAAATCAAAATATTTGTTTAATTACATTTAATTTTTCTTTTCTTTTTTCTTTTTAAAACATAATTTAAGTTTAATTTTATTTCATTTTTTAGATTTTTTAAAAAAAAATAAAAAATTGTCGTATTTATTGTTTTAAGAGCAAAAAATATATATTAGTTTCATTTAATTAAAAAAATATATATTTTATTTATTTTTGTTTTATTGTTTTGTTTTTAATTGAATTTGATAAAAAAAAAACTGCCTATGGCTAAAAAGCGAATAGCATAACGCTAAGACCTCATCGTTAGCACGTCTTTCAATTAGTCTTTCGAAAGACAGTAAAGAGCTTTCAAGCCTTTTGTCTTTCAAAAGACTTTGTTGAGTTGAAAGATAGTTGCCAGAATTGCCCTGTTAAACGCATTAAAGTACAACGATTGTCTTGGCTTGGGCATGTTGTACGTATGGATGGCGAGGCTCCGGTGAAAAGATTCTTCTACTCGGCACCTATGGGTGGGCAATGAAAGCAAGGATGCTCACGAACAAAATGAAAGCGCCAAGTGCAGAAGAACCCGTCTACACTCGGGATGAACAACTGGGTGTAAATTCGCAAAAAAGAGAGGCAATGGACAAAGTTATTTGGTGTCGGCTCAAACCGAAAAACGGTTGTAGTGGCAAACAAGAAGTCTTTCACAGGTCTTAGAGCGTTAAAACGTACTAAAAGCATGTAAAACAGAAAATTTTACCAGGAATCACCGAATAAGAAAAAATTGTCCTCTATAAGGCTTTATCTGAATTTGGTTACGGGCAATATTCGTGCTAAGTATATACAAAAAATTTCATATTTTTAATTTTGCATAGAGAACTTTAAAACTCTTCCTAACCTCAAATCAGCATTACACCTGCTCGGAAATATTTTTGTCAATTTAAATGTAAATCTAGACTAGGGAATTTTGTAAATAAACTTGCTAATAAGCCATCGATATTCCTATATACATATATGTTTGTTCCTAAACAAAAATTTTACATAAGGTTTTGCTATGTATTGCATACCAGCATGCATTAAATGAATACTATACACAAAATAAAATGCTCGTAACTGTCAAATAACAATGGTAAAATGTATGTAAGTAAACAATCGTGAGATATTAGCTGTGACGTACGGATCGTCCGAAGCCGGTACTACAAAGTAGGTATATAAGCGCACCGACCGTAGTTAACGTCGCACAGAATTTACTAGCGCGCGAATCAGAAAGAACTCACAGGTTGACAGAATTGAAACATTACAACAACCCAAAACACATAATAAAAATAAAGCAGCAAAATAACAAAAAATAAAATTACAAAATACTGTGTACTGCGCGGAGCTGAGCTGCGCTGCGCTGCGTTGTGTAAAACACGTACTGTGAACATAGAAAGGCAATTGGAACGTGCGCCGATCGCATTGATACCCGTATCTCGGAAGTGCAGTGAACAGTATCTAAAAAAAAAACAAAAAATCCCAGTAATAGTTAATTTATTGTACACATGCGCTTGTTTATCACAGCCAGACCATTTATGCAAAAAACATACAAAAAACTTAGTATCGATGCATTATTATACTATAAAATCTTAGTATAAAAAATATTGCCACAGATTAATATTGAAGTGATAACATTGCATGTGATAAGAGCTAATCAAAGAGTAGTGTTAAAAAAAACCAAACGACAAAATAGTTAATATTTGGAGTATCCGTACACCATACTAAATGGATAACAAAGTGGAGAAAAATGAAAGCGAGGTAAGTGTTGGCCTTATTGAAAGAAAGAGCCAATTTACACGATGACTTTTCAGATTGCATTCCCTGTTAAAAAAAAGTCTTCGAAAGTCCTCGTGCATGTACACGATGACATTTTATTTTCGGCGTTTCTTGTGTTTTTTATTTTTGACATTTAAGTGTCAAATTTTCTTTGATCAACTCTTTCGTCCTCATTTTTAAAGCGCGGAGCGAATCGCGAACTCAAAGTAAAACTACGAAAAAGTGATTTCACAGGCCGTGGGTGCTTGCCTACCCCGCTGACTTCCCTACACTTCTTGCCAACAAGCTCGACATGCATGACTTGCCTACCCAGGATGAAAAGTCATCGTGTAAATTGGCTCAAAAGGACAAACTGAAAGAATACCCCTTTGCAATAAAATTAGTGCAAGAGAATTTGGACTAAAATTAAATAAAGAAAGAAATAAAGAAATTTTAGTAGGTTTTTACTAAGCTTTATAGCTCTATATCTGAGTAAAATCCGTTCTTATTCTACATGTGTTGCTCTTGAACCGCTAGTAATTTTGAACCGAGATATAAGATATTGCTTTTGCAAAAGTTCCCAGTCGTTTAAGGATCTGCTAGGCCTTAAAAAAACCGAAACGAATTTTTATCCAGTCAAATAATAAGTACTGAACCAACTCCGGCACAAGAAAGCTTTCGCAAATGAGACCCCCACGATAGATGTTATGCCTCTGTGAAGGACCTCCACTCTCTGCGCAAATTCAAGCTACATTAACAGATTTTACTTTTTGGAAAAGATAAGTTTTAAATTGAAAAGAAACTGATTTGAAAAAAAACATAAACTTACTGATTATAAATTAAAATTTAGCCATCTGGAAATTTTCTGAATTAAAACCAGATACCTTCTGTTATGTGGTTTTTCATAGCTGCCACTGAATGAACTCGAACGGTTTAAATTTTAAAAATAAACATCGTGATTTAAGATTTTGAGAAAAAAGTTTGAAGTTTGGATGAACATTTTTGGAAGTCTTTTAAATTCTAAAAAGTTTTAAACTTGGATTTATACGGGTTTTGTTAGAGAATGAACTGTATGTTAATAGAAAATTTTTTAATTTAACAATTTTTATTGAGCTTGAGGCCGTTTTTAATGAAAAACGATTGTGGAAAAGCAACAACAATGGTAGAAGTGATAGCTATTTCGGAAATCACCACATTTCCTCATCAGACTAGACTTCTTCAGCGGCATTCGAACCGACAACCCCAGCTGACTCAGCCCTTTGGCTACGCAATAAAATAAATAAATACTTACAAATAAGTGAAAAACAATATCATTTTGAACTTGGGGTGTTAATGATTCTGACTTATACATATGCGTAGTGAAATCACCCGCACGTTGTTAGGTCTTGAAGGGCTTGAAGAGGTTCTACGTAATATTACAGTGCTGTTGCGATTGCTTTTTGAAGCGGAAATAGAGAGAAACGTTACAGAAATTAATTTAAAATTTTACACTTTAAAACGCCTCAAAATTTGAATTAAATTTTACTTCAATTTTTTCGAGAATGATAAAAATATTAATTTTTGGAAAAATATAAATTATCATAAAACGCATTTGCTATTTTTACACATCGCACACGATCTGCAGAGGTCACACAATTCAAAATTACACGTTCGTCAGAAAATGCGAAAAACTATTTCTTAGCACATGCTGATCATATGCGCAAGGAAAACTTTGCCTTAGGTTTTTTTCAACAAATTATAATAAAAATTTGCTCCAGCTGTTGCTGAAAGGTAAGCAAAAGCTCTGTGTACAGTTTTAGTGCGTAATTTCAAAAATGTCAAATTTTAAGTAGTGTCACTTTTGAAGATCGTGTGCGATATGTACATCCACTGCGGAGCATAATTGAGAACAAGGTAATTTTTTACAATATTCGTATTTTTTATAGCTAAAGTTGTTTTTATTAAATTAATTATTTTTTTTTTGTACTAACTAACATTGTTCATTCTACAACAAGTATCATATACATATGAACATGTATCAAGTTTTCGAACTTTGTATAAAATTCAAAAAATTACCCTCAAAATTTACAAAGAAACAAAAGCACAATACAAACTATTGACTAGCAGTAACTTATAGCAAAAGTGATTGTTAATTCACAGTGAAAAAATCACTGATAGTGAAAACATCGATCATCACTATGTTCGGCCTAATTCGATCAGAGCAAGAAGTTATGGTCAACGTCACTCTGCTAAACCGTATTGGTCAAATCCCAAAATTAGATAGGTTGCCTTCGTATTTCTATACAGTCATTTGGCTATGTAAGAAATGCGTTCATGAGTAGCCTTTTATGTACAATTCTTTTCTCTAATTTGGTAAAATCTGAATATTCCCCGGTGTAAACCATTATGAAGCATGGAGGCAGTTCTTAAATGGCTAGGGGTTGTACATAGTATAAAGACAAAATTTAGAGGGTATATCTTTAAGAAAAGATGGTACTAATAACACTGGATCACAAATCGTTTTTTTTTTCACAGATGCCACTATCCAACTCCTATATAAAATTGCTCTCTTATTCCGAAAATCGTTTTATTTTATTTTTTCTATGGATAGGTTTTCGATATATTAGAGATTTACCGTTATTCCTCTTAAAACAGCTTTATTACGTATATCTTACTAACGAATTGAACAATCGTAATACGAAATATGGCAAATGAAAGCTATAAATCACTTTAAGATAGGCCAGATATTTTCTGAAAAATTAATTAATATTCCAATTAATTTGTTTTTTTTTTGCTGAAAAGACTAAAAAAAAATCAAACATTAACAGGGGCAAAAATAACGAATTCTTGGTAAATTTTTTGATTTTGTATGAAAGCCTGCTAACGAAGAAAAGCGATAAATAAATAAAATGGAAAGCGTTTTACTCATGTGTACATGGCGTATGAGCAACATTCTTTCCAGCTAATTTTTCATACAAAAAATCTTTGCTTATTTTGATTTAACCACTTACTCTTTTTTTATTTATCCATCGATTTTGTTCATTAGTCGGTTGATTTTGTTTGTAACAGATCAGGATTTAACACACTGAAATTGAAAATATATCGAAAACCTATCCATGCTTACTTCAATATTACATAAATTCTATTCTTAGTTCATAGAGGCACTGTAAAATAATTTTGTTAAATTGTTGTGCTGGGAAAAAACATCAAATAAATACAAATACAAATACAAATAGCGAGCAATTCTATATAGGAATTGGATAGTGTTTAGATCGATTTTCGGCACTAAATGAAAAAAAAAAATATTTTTAATTTTTTGAGTCCATAGAGGCATCTGACCTTTGACTCTCTTGCGTCTTAACCGACTCCAATCGTGACCAAATTTTATATGCGATATCTTCGACTATGGTAGTATCGACTTTGGTTATTAGATGAAAAAATAATTGTTTTAATTTTTTTTAGTCTCTATAGAAATCTGTACTTTACCTCCTGTGCGACACGCCTTAACCGTCACCAATCGGGATCAAAATTTATTTGCGACATCTGTGACCGTGATATTACCGATTAAGGGGGTTGACTGAAAAATCGTTAATTTTAAAGTTTTTAGGACTACCCTAATGTACTTAAATATAATGCTATGAAAAAATTTGAATCAATATAAATGTGTACATATTTATATATGCACATACTAATGTAGTCAAGATATCTTGATTGTTATTGGCTTTAAAAATTATTTAATTTGTAAAAATAAAATTCCATTGCAATTCATATGTAGTTCTCAAGGAAATGTAGATTGAAGTGATTTAATTAGGTTCATTGAATAGATTGCTGATGGTTGGTAGCAGGCAAGTGGCAATTAAGCATTTCAGTAATTTTAATCGAGTTCTATCACTACCCGCAATCTGAAGAGCATTCAAGCAATGAGGTACTTATTATCTTCTATCATACCGGCTAGTTTTGGTAAATAGTACAAAGAGCTCAAGTACTTACATATGTATATTATGTATGTATATGATGTTCATAGGTAGATTAAAATCGATGATTGAAGTATGTAGTCCAAAGGTATGTGTGTGCATTAGAAAAAATATACCACTAATTTTTATTTTGAAATCAAAAAATATTTAGAGGTTTTATATGGGAAAAAAACCACTTTTCGTAGAAATTGTATAGAGTTGTTGAAAATCAGAATTTTTCGATCGGAAAATTCTGGATCTCTTCAGGAGACTTCCAATAACAATACCTAGTTGTTTATTTAACCATTTTTTAATACTAAAGATTTTTTATTTAAGCATTTTCTAGCATTTCATCGGGGTTTTGGCAGAACTATAAATATAGTTACTATAAAAAAAAACTTTAAAATAAATAACTTCGGAAGAGAAACAAAGTTTTCCGATCCAAAAATATTGATTTTCAATAATTCTATTTCTATTTTCCCCATAAAAAAGGCATGTAAAACTTTGAGCGCGTTGAGCGACGTCTAATTTTTTTTTTTGATTTTAAAATAAAAAATAGGGGTATATTTTTTTCGGTATCGAACAATCCCCCCTACAGGGAGTGAGAGAATAAAAATTCCGACTTTACTTTTTCACATGCATTTTTGGACCGCCCTAGTGTACATACTATAGAGATATTTTTTTATGCTCCAATATTCTATACTATATTTCAGTAAGTATCATTTTCAAAGTTTTTTTCAACGCCTTTAAAGTTCAGTGAACCTTCTTAGATAACTAATGGATGTTTACATGCAATCTATGCATGTGAAAAAGTATACTTAAGCGCTTATTTATAGGTACAGTGCACTCGCAATTACGCGAACACCGCTTAACGTGAACACATTATTTTTAACAGTGACTACTTTGAAATGTGAAAAAAATTGGTCAGTTTTTCTATATAAGGAACACCTAATATATGGAATTTGGCTTTTTCCGAATTTGGGGAATCCCCTACTATAATAAAATTGTTGTATGCCACCGAACTAAGTCGGTCGTTCTGTTTCTCTTTCGCGATGTGCTTTGCCAAACATT